AGAATCCGCAAATCTCTGCCAAGTGTCTCTCTCCAAAAGATAGTATCCATCGATGTGAGGTCTCCTGGGCTACTCGGGGATGTTTCCATGGGGATCGGCGAGAGAAGTGACACTACCGAACGTGCAAGAACCGCCCTGTACTGAAAATGTGAGACGTCAACAAGAAGCTCAAGACAATAAGTGAGACGTGTGATAAGCCGGCCGTAAGGGGGGGATAAGGATTTATTTGTTTTTGACTTCTTACAGGTGAATCACCGAGAATTCGGGGTCGGCCCCGAGCATATTGTAGTCGACCATGGCTCGGAAGGCAGATAACTCCTCTCGGATTAATAGGCATTGTGCCTGTCTTTATGTAAAAAAATAAGCATGTAAAGAGTCTTGGAAGGTTTGATGTCAGGAAGACCAAAGTGGCTGGTAGATGAGTGGAATAGGAGAGAGAGGTAAAGATAGAATTATGGTATACGAAAGAGGTTATTGGTATGAGACGGGGGGGTAAACCGTCCGGAGTAGCGCTTTTTATGCACCGCGTTTGACAGTCAGGCGTGCAGCTGTCACCGGCTTCTCCAGCCCCATGCTTCTTTTGCTCCAGCTCACCTGTCTTCATCATCGTATCTTATTCTTCCGCTCCTTACTCTTCCGATCACACAGTTACCGCTATTGTCTTCATCTTCATCATGATACAAGAATATCCATTGACTATCATCGGGGTCCTTTTGCTCCTAGGTGGATGGTATTTCATTACCACCATCACTGCCTGCTCCAAGCTAGCTCGACTGAAGGGTTGTCAGCCGCCCAAAAGTTATCCCCATAGGGAGAGGTTGCTGGGTTCTGACTATCTGCGTGACTCTATCCAGGCAAGAAAGAGCCAATGCTACCTGAGACGCGAGCAACAGCTACACCAAGAACTTGGCAACACCTATCGATCCCTCTTTCTAGGACAGTGGGTTTTGAACACAATCGAGCCTGACAATGTGCGAGCCATCTTCTCCACAAACTTCACAAACTTTGATACCGGATCACGACGCCATAGGGCCTTTGCACCATTGCTGGGAAATAGCATCTTCCAAATCGATGGGGTGCAGTGGCGGTCGAGACGTTCCCTCCTGCAAAGATGCTTTACTCAATCTCGCATTGGTGACATTGGGTTTTTCGAGCCTCATGTTAAGACTCTACTCGCTGTTATCCCCATCACCGGGGAAGCCTTTGACTTAGCTCCGTTGTTCCATCGTTTTGCGGCCGATGTTGCTACAGACTTTCTGTTCGGGGAGTCACTTGCAACCCTCGAACATCCAGATAGGCTCCAGTCAGGCTTGCTAGAAGCATTCTACGAGGCAGCAGCAGGATGTGAGTTTCGATGGTTGCTAGGACGCTTTGCCTTCCTCTGGCCACAGCGAGCATTTATGACGCATGTTCGCATAGTGCATTCATTCATCCAACCATATGTCGACAAAGCAATCAGGGTAAATCATGAAGACCTGGGAAAGGATGAGATCGAGAAGCATCGATCAAATTTTCTGAATCAGCTCAGTCAAATACCACAGGATGGTCTATCGCTCCGGGACGAAATCACAACCCTGTACTTTGCCGGTGCAGACACCGTCGCAGCCCTCTTGATCAACTTATTCTTCATTCTTTCAAAGCGTCCTGATATATGGGAGCGCGTACGCTCAGAAACACAGCACTTACGCGGCCAGCCACCTACGCTGCAACAATTGAAATGTCTCAAATATGTGAATGGCTGTGTATACGAGAGTAAGAGGTCTTCGCACCTGATAGGACGACGATGCTAACGACCGATTTCCCATCAAGGCCTTCGCATTCATCCGCCACAAGCTTCCAATTCTCGAATTGCTAACCGAGACACGGTTCTTCCCACTGGCGGAGGGGCCGACGGTAGCTCGCCAATATTCGTATCGAAGGGTACGATGGTGCACATCGCGACGTATGCCATGCACCGCCGTCACGATCTCTGGGGTGACGACGCAGAAGAATTTGACCCCGACCGCTGGCTCGACCAAAAGCAGAATTGGGTAAGGAGTCTTTCCGAATGACATCAGAGCTAGCTCCTAACCCCATCGCAGAAGTTCATCCCCTTCCTAGGCGGACCGAGGAATTGCATTGGCAGTAAGTGTTTCCATCCAATCCGTGCTCATGGCGGCGTCCGTATTAACGCCACAACCACCATTGTAGTGGATCTGGCCTTAAATGAAGCCACTTATGTTCTCACTCGCCTGGCGCAGCATTTTCGCTCAATAGACTCCAAAGATCCGAACGGGTGGGTTGAGAGCGCCGGTCTTGCGCTGATGTCCAAAAATGGAGTTCGAGTGGCAGTGGCTTGAGAGGTAATACTCCGTACCCCGTAGTAACCACAGGTTTCATGACGGGAGGCTTATATGAAGCTATTGACTCACGATACTACTTTCTTGCAGTCCGATAAGACACTAGTGAGCGTTGGTGGATCGGACCCCGGGCTAGGGGACGCCTTGCATAAGTGCCTGCGGAGAAGCGGGTCTGGATGATATGCCACCTTTCGGCGGTGTTATGCGCTGGAAGGAATTAGAGTGACAGCCTAATCTTGAAGCCTAACTCGATGTTGCACAAGTCTGACTGCGCTGATAGCCTCGTCACTGTCACGACTGGCTTCGAAACCCCACAAATTGTAGGAAGCCCCGGTACGGTACTTAAAAGAACAGACATCAGGCGAGCCCAAACCTGGCGATTGTTCGCGGACATTCTTGTCCCTAGCCAAGATGCAGTCCTTCATATTCCATACATCCTTGGTGGTGCAACAATGGAAACTGTGCCGCCAGCTAGCAAGCGAACCAGGGGTGGAAGTGACCATCGACGGTGACACCTTGGACATCCCACATGTCGTCTATGTTGCAAGGTGGGTCACAAATTCCTTTTGAGCCTCCTTGCGCTAATGATGTGTAGACATGCTCAGAGCGTGAAAATTGATCCAACAGCATATTCGGAGGTCAATAAAAGCCACAACGCCTTACTGGATAGTCTTTCGTCAGGAGACGTAATCTACGGTATGTGAGCCTATCAATACAACTCCTTGTGAGCCTGAAGTTGATGCATCTGCTTCGCTACTAGGTGTCAACACCGGCTTTGGTGCCTCTGCGCATACTCGCACGAAAGATGTCCAAGCGCTTCAACGGGTGCTGACTCGAGAACTCGGTTATGGCATCCTTCCTCCGGGTTCTCGAGATGCTCAACCTCGCCGACGCAGCGTTTGTGAAGACCATCGTGAATTTGTCCTCGCACAGGAGGAAGCATGCGAGTCGTACTACCTGCCATTGACCTGGGTTCGGGGTGCTATTCTACTAAGAATCAACACCTTGTTACGAGGTCATTCGGCCATCCGCCCGGTCATCCTGGATCGGTTGGAGGCACTGCTAACGCATAATATCATTCCCCTGGTGCCCATTCGCGGCAGTATCTCTGCGTCTGGAGACCTGAGTCCGCTGGCATATATCAGCGGTGTCATCCAGGGAAAGCCTACAATCCGGGTGTTTCCCACCTCCGGTCACGATGGGGATCTTTACGCAGATGAAGCCCTCGCTAGTGCAAGTATCACGGCAGTCGACCTGACTGCAAAGGAGGGCCTCGCAATTGTCAACGGGACGGCTATTTCGGCGGCCTGTGGTGCCCTCGTGCTTCATGACGTGCAGCAACTGGCTATGCTCTCTCAAATCCTGACAGCCATGACTGTGGAAGCGCTTCTTGGATCGCCAGAGAGCTTCGATCGCTTTTTCGGGGAAGTCCGTCCACACCCCGGGCAAGTCGAAGGCTCTCGCAACATCCGAGCATTCCTGAGGGGTTCCCAGCTGGCTCGGGCCAAGGACGGGAAAGACGGAGCTCTGCGACAAGACCGATACTCCATCCGCACTGCGGCACAGTGGCTCGGTCCGGTGCTAGAGGATCTACTCCTTGCCCACCAGCAGATGAGCATCGAATGCAATTCGACCACGGATAACCCGTTAGTGACCCACGACGGCGAGTTCCTGCATGGGGGCAATTTCCAGGCCAAGGCCGTGACCGCCGCAATGGAGAAGAGTCGCCAGGGAGTGCAGGCCATCGGCCGCATGCTGTTCACGCAATGTCAGGAGATGATCAACCCAGCCACAAGCTGGGGCCTGCCCCCGAACCTGGTCGCCGAGGAGCCCAGCAAGTCGGGGATCTTCAAGGCCATCGACATCTACATTTCCGCTCTCCAGTCGGAGTTGGGATTTCTTGCTGGCCCGGTAAACCATGTCCAAAACGCCGAGATGGGCAATCAATCGCTGAACTCCCTAGCGTTGATCTCAGCCCGATACACCGCCACGGGCGTGCGGGTTCTGACCGAGCTCGCCGCCGCGCACCTCCTCTCCGCATGCCAGGCCCTAGACCTTCGCGCCATGCAGTTGCAGTTCTTGGACTCGATCCGTCGTCCGTTTGCAGTGCTGCTCGACGAGTTGCTGCAAGCCATCGAGCCAGATGCAGACGATGAGAATGACACCGGATCCATAGATGTGGAAGCTCTATCGTCTGCGATATGGCTGCACCTTGAGAGGATGCTCGACTCCACCGTCACGATGGATGCGAAGGACCGCTTCCTGCACATCGCGAAAAGCATGCGGGTGCCCATCCTCGACCATGTCGGGGCTTGTGCATCGTCTGCCGAGCTACTCGGGGCGCTGCAGATCTTTGTCGAAGACACAGACTCCCTGCTTCTGGACACATGGTGTGTCAATCGGGATGCGTATCTGATCCACGGCAACGCCAGTGCGTATTTGGGGGTGGCATCGAAGAAGGTCTATACGTTTGTGCGGCGGACGCTGGGGGTCCCGTTTTTGTGCACGGCTCAGATCTTGACGCCGACGGCTGAAGCGATGAGGACGGGTCAACGCCGCGCGGCGCCGACGGTGGGCTCCTACACGGGGGTGCTCTACCGGGCGATTCGACGGGAGGAGATGGTTCCTCTGATGACCGAGCTGTTGGAGGAGTGTCTGGCGGAGCATGAGTTGAATGAGTGATCTGCGTACAGTACTTCAATAGTTGCAAAAACATGGGTAGCATAAAATGTGGCCACAGCCATGTCCCGGGGTAAACTACAGATACAGAAAGTTACAAAGTTCCCATCCAATATACACTACGCACCGCACCAGTCCCAACTCCCCTGAACCACAACACCAGCCTCCACCTGATCGAACCGCACCCTTGAACCCTTACACCCTTCCACCCTCACACCCTCAAACCCAAACCCAAACCAACCCAGCCCCACCTCTCACCTCGTAGCCTTCTCCAAGTCCGCCGCCCACAGCGCCGCCCCAACGGTATTTGTAAAGGCCATCACAATCGACGCAAACGGAATCATCTCCAACGCGAAAGCCGCCATGCCGAACCTGCCCACACACAAAAGATTAGCCCCCATCTCACGCACCCCCATCCCATCCCATCCACACTAGAAGAGAAGAAACTCACGCAGTATACGCCCCCCTCCTCCCATCCCCACCCACCCACTCCTCGCGCTCCTTCCTGCCCCACCCCTTCAACTGAAAGTACCGGGCGTGCGCCACCGGCCCCACGCGCTTCCCTTGCACATAGATATACGCGATCGTGCCGACGACCGGCACGAAGTTGAGGGGCAGGTACAGCAGCGAGCGCAGCAGCATCTGCGGCGAGAGTTTCTCGATCGGGTGCTTGAGACGGGTGCCGAGGCGGTGGGCCCCGCTAGTGGACGAGGACGAGGATGGCGGGACGGCGACGGCGCGCTCCCGCGCGACGAGGGCGTCCTCGCCGCGCTCGAGCAGCGTCGCGTCGAAGGTGTCGGTCAGCGCGTCGGCGAGGAGGAACGACCGCGCCAGGTAGGTGGTGATCGTGGAGGATTCGGAGAGCACGAGGAGGGCGGCGGAGAAGGGCGCGAGAAGAGGCCCCGCGGTGAAGGTGAGCAGCGCCACTTGCGGGAGGTAGGTGAAGAAGAACATGGTCGTGGTGATGCCCAGGCCCAGGGTGAGGGTTTTGGTGGACCGCGAGAGGAGCGGCGTCCACAGGGGGCGGTGGTGGAGGGTGTAGATTATTCCCTGGTTTTCTTTTTTTTAGGATTTTGGGGGATGTTTTGGGAGGGGTGTAATGGGTGGACTTCACTTTTATGGGGTAGATGTATGTGCCGGAGAAGAGGAGGTCTTTGGCGATGGCGCGGAGGTGCGCGATTTCGTTGAGCAGGGTTTCTTTGAGGGTGGACATTTTCTACTTGGTTTTGTGGTGGTGGAGTGTGGTGGTGGTTGAATGTGATGAGTTTCTGGTGAAAGAATAGGGCGTGATTTAAGGGAGCAGCAACCAGAGGAGGGGAGAGGATGAAGATCGTCATGATGTCGCAAAAAGCTTGGCCGGGCTTATCGATAAGAGCTTCCGATAAGATAAGCTGATTGTCTGGGTGTGTATACAACCGCGACAACAAACAACTATAAACCCAACCCAACACAAACAAACAGCATCAACCTCAAGTCCATCTACTTCACCAATCTCATCCACTTCCCTACACATCCTCCCTCAAACAGTTATAGGCTACAACCACCCTTCCATCCAACACCCAACCGCCTCCCTCCCCCTCCCCAACGCCTCCCTCTCCCCGGGAACCCCCTCATCCCCCCTCGTGAAACACCCATGCTCCACCCCCGGAAAAAACCGATACTCGAACTTCACCCCCCTCTCCTGCAGGTTCTGGATAGTGAACGCCTTCAGCTGGGGCGTGTATACCGGATCCCGCTCCGGCGCCAGCACCTGCACCGGCACCTGCACCGCGGCAATATCCTCCTCCGTCAAGAGACTGGGATGGCCAATCGATACGCAGTCCACCAGGTATTGCTGTTGGCCTGCACCATCACTATCACCACGACCACGACCACCACTGCCCCTGATACCGCTACCGCTACCCCCCTCACCCAGCGCGCAAGATGACTCCCCCAAGCCACCACTCCCCAGCTCACAGCCCCCAGAACAGTCGAACAACAACCCCCCCAACCGAACAGCAGCCCATCCCCCCCAGCAAAACCCCACAACCCCAACCCTCTCAAACCCCAGAGTCATCCTTACATGCTTCGCAAAAGACACAACCTCCGGTTCGCGAATGGCCCGCGCATTGCGGGCCAGAAACCCCTGGAGGTCGAGTTCGGCCCAGCGGCCGGCCAGGATCGGGGCGGCGGGGAGGGTCTCGCCCCCAAAGAAGTCAGGGAGGAAGACAGTGGCGTTGGCGGAGTGGGCGTAGCTGTCGGCCAGGAGGCGGAGGTTGGGGAAGGTCCAGCCGAGGAGGTCGTGGATGACCAAAATGGCGCGGGTGGGGTTGTGGCCGGCTGTGTAGACGGAGTGTTGTTTGAGGGGTGTGGTTAGGGTGGTGTTTGTGCCGGTTGGGGAGGTGGGCCATGGGCGGGGTGGGGTGCGGAGGCAGCAGGGGGGAATTCGTGGGGTGGTTGTTGTGGACATTTTGGGTTTGTCGAGAGTATAAGAGCCTGGAGCCCTGAGGGGAGGTGTACTGTACGAAAAGGTGTTCGGGGTCGGGTGGTGAGGGGCTCTATATATGCTATGCGTACTTTAGGCTAGCAGCTAAGGGATCATCATCCCTGTAACTACCACAAGGCTGGAGCCAACGACGTAACAACAGAAGCAACAATAGTGACGCTATGATTATGATTAGCAAGCAATGCTATCTAGCCATCCCAGCCCGCCTTGGTGGCATTCAGTAATCCCCCGTTGACGGCTCGGCGCCTGGCCATAAGCCGCGCCAGCACGCCTACGTAACCCGCAAACGCCATACAACACTGATATCAAAAGATCGCTAATGTAGCACATGCTCGAATCCAAACGCTGGGATGACAACTTTTCCGCCCGCGGCTTTATCGCCGCCCGTCCGTCGGAGTTTGGTGCCAGATCGTGTCCCCACTCAGGGCAGAGTAGCTCAACGCCGCGTAGCTGCGCCACGTCGGTGGCGCGGACGATGCATGTGCCTCATGGACTGCTGCGTCCGCGCCTGCGCGGTGCTCCACGTCAGACAGCTCGTCCTCGCTGCCTCCGGCGATCGGGACCGGAGCCGAGGATACGCTCTGCTGAGACTCAACGTCGCGAGAGTGCTGACCTTCGCCCACTGTCTGCTCTGCAGCGGTATCGCGCATATCACCGGCCTTGCTTTGCGCCATCGACCGAACGACGTCTCCCTTGCAAATCGGACACGTCCGTCGGCGTGTAGTCAACCAAGGAGTGCTGTATAGTGTTAGAAGTGGCAGGATATAGATCAACTGGCATACTTACATGCACTCGGCGTGGAACTCATGCCCACAAGGCAGGCTCATCACCCGGCTTTCTCCATCGACGTACTCTTCCAGGCAGACAACACATTCGACCTGTCGTCCCGTGTACTTACGTCGCCAGAGAGTGGATCCGGATTTCTCCTTCTTGGAAGACGAAATTCTGGGTGCACCCTTGGTGTCTGAGCGACTTCCAGACCCCAGCAGGGGGGATGTAGGCGAGACCGGGCCAGGGCTGACGGACCGCGGTGAGCTAGAGGCAGAAGATGAGGTGGTAATTGTGTGATACGTTCGCACAGGAAGGCGGTCCACCAGAGATTTCGGGGCGCGCCATCTTCGTCGACGAATGCGGGACCGGAGCAACAGCAGAATGTACACGACGCTCAGTGTAAGCAGCGGACTGATGACAAGGACGAGGAGGGTATCGAAGAATGGACTGGTAGACATGCTCGTCGGCGTTAAAGTGACCCACAAGCCCTCGTGATCGGCTGTCGTCGCGCCTGATTGACTGATTGAGGAAGGCTTGCGGGACTTCTCTTCGGCAGCAAGTGTGTCCTTGACGCTCGCATCCCGGCTTACGTCGGGCTCATGTCTACTTGACCAGAGCTTGGAAAGCCAACTGCTTCCAGACGAAGATGCGTCATCATCGCCGCTGCTATGATGCGAGCTTTGGGACTGCGAGCCGCTTGAGCTCCCTTTCTGTGAGACCGCAGACTTGTCGACGGTATAGTACTCGCCACTGCCCGGGGTAATGCTGCCGCCTTTCAAAGCAGCAGCGGTGGCTTTGTCACTGTTTTGGATGTTGTTCCTATCTACACCCGCGATCCCAGTGGGTGTCGGAAGAACACTGCCCTTCGGTGCGACTAGGTCTGGATCTCGCCAGTCCTGGACTCCGATCACAAACCCATCTGCATCCGAGCCGCTCGATAGTGATCCATGCTTTTTGCGGTTGATGGTGGCTCCGTCTGCTTTCGTTGGGTAGCGGCTAAAATCTGCCTGATGCTGGGGTGGTGCATGGTCATCCCAAGGATCTAGCATGATCCAGTTAATGTTTCCACTGTTTGGCGGGCGACGGCTATCTTCAGATGAGAACCACGGTCGTCTTCCACTGCTACCAAGGCCCAGTAGGGACAGCAAGGCATGAAAAAGACCGCCTTTCGGACTGGCGGGAACCAGACTATTGTCGGCCATCGCGTGCTTAGTGGGCGTACTTGAGGCAGCCACTACTGTGGTTGTCGCTGTGTGAAGAGGTTGCTTCCCAGAAGTGCGATGGCCCGACTGGCCAGTTTGAGTAGCGGGAGCGTCATCCGCCTCCGTACCTTCGACCATCTGAGGCGGAACCAACGACGACAGCAGATGGGCGGTAGTGTGGGAGGTGAACAGCGCAGGGATTGTCACGTTAGACGTATCGCCGCGTGCATACATAGTCACTAGACTTCCACCCCGAGTGTCGTCACCCACAATCAGAGCAATACCTCCTCGTCGTTGCACCCATTTGACTTTCTCAAGGAAGCCACAGCCACCTCGACTCAACAGAACCACCTTGCCGTCAATCTCCGCACTTTCCTGCAGAGATTGGATATCGGCGTGAGTTGTGGGTAGGCTCAGAGAGTGATCCCCGGGTTTCTCCATAGCAGTTGCATCTGTTCCTGCAGACTCCGGAAGGGGGTGGTGCAGATGATCATCGGTTCCGTCATCCGTCGCAAGGCCGGTCTTTGCTCTTTCCTTTGGAAGACGAGAGGATTCGGCATCTGAGTGAGCATCCGCCTGCTTTTTCGTTCCCTCGCTCGTGGTTCCGGTTTGTGGTTTACCCGCAGTTCTGTCGGCCGTCCCTGGCTTGTGAGGGTCGCCTTCGCCCCATCCCGGAATATCTGAACAGCCCAGTTCCCCCTCCGCTCCCGCCGTCGTGCGTTCTCCAAATCCGCTTCCAATCCAGAGTTGACCGCTCAGCCCCTTGTCTGGGAGCAATGGGCCAAACGCTGCAGGTCTGGCCAGGAAGAAGGTCGAGTTGTCATCGGTCAAACTGATGATTGCGGAGGGCGGAAAGAGCGAGGATGGAAGGTTAAAGGAGAAAAGGGCATGGAGACCCGTCGCTTGACCAGCAAGCGAGCTCGGCGTAGAGACGCGGGAGGAAGTGGTGAGTGCCGAGAAGAAAGTGAGTAAGATCGGGAAGAAGAGCAAGCAAAACACAATCACGATCAAGCGTGGTGGTCGCATGGTGACGCAATGCCTCTAGTAACCAAGCGATACAATGAAAACAATGACCGTCTTGGATATGGTGTGGTTGGTAGCTGACAGGGGTGAAATGATGACCTTTCACGGTCAACGTTTCGGTATCCAGGCAGCGTGATAATAACTTCGGTGTAGAGTTGTGATTGACGAGGTGGTACTAATTAATGGTGGCACCCTGCGGTTGCTGGCAGCGAGTGGATCTTATGACCAGTCAGACGGTCGCTGCAGGCCGACAGCAACCCGCACTCATCGAAAACGAAGAGGCGGAAAACTGGTAGACGATGAACAAAAGAAATCAGACAGATCGCATGAAAAGAAGGTCGAACCTCCCCGAAAGTGCGACGAAAAGCGAGGAGAGGAGGGGGAAAATCGGAGGGGGGAGGAGGGAGGAGGGAGGGGGGGAGAGAGGGGAGAGGGGAGAGAGAGGGAGAGAGGGAGAGAGGGAGGAGGGCGGAAAGGAAGGATGTCAACACGCGCGCGCCAATTTGGTCGTCCAGAAGAACTATGAGGAATTGAGTGGTCGCAAACACGATGCAGAGTGATATACAGAGTAGAAGGACTATGATGATTTGGTATATCAGAGAAAGAAAAGAGAAGTAAGGATGAAGGAAGGAATGAATGAATGAATGAATGACTGGCCTCTTTTTTTCCTGCGTTTACGGAGTACTCTTGCTTGAGACACGCAAGCACAGCCTCAGCCCCCAGTCACGGGGCGGTGGCTGCCTGAGGCTAAGATGGACACTGGACGTGGACGGGGATTGTCATCCTGCGAACTCAGGCCAAGTCAGGCAACCAAG